AACAGCGTTGAGTTTATCTTTCTTTGTAGCTGAGTAATACTCCATTGTATAAAAATACCACATTTTTCTTATCAACTCAACTGATGGGCTTTTGGGTTGTTTCCAAGATTTTGGTATGACAAATTGTGCTGCATTAAACATGGGTGCACATGTATTGCTGTGGTATGATGTTTTTAATTCTTCTGGGAAAATACCCAGAAGGGGAATGGCTGGGTTAAATGGGACCTCTAGTCCTAATTTTTTGGGGAATCTCCAGACTGATTTCCAAAGTGGTTGCACCAGTCTACATTGCTATGAACAGTAGAGAAGTGTTTCTTTGCCCCTGCAGCCCCTCCAGCATTTGTTATTGGTTGATTTTGTAATGGCAGCCATTCTTACTGGGGTGAGATGAAATCTCAGTGTTGTTTTAATTCACATCTCTCAAATGACCAATGATGTTGAACATTTTTTATGTATTTATTTGCCATTTGTATTTCTTCATCTGAGAAGTGTGTATTCATCTCAGATGCCCTTTTTTGGATTGGGTCTTTCAATTTGGGGGATCTGAGTTTTTTCAATTTTTTATATGTTATAGATTAAGTCCTTTAATATTAAGTTGTTAATTCATGTGCTTTGTATTCTTAGTTGAAATAACTAAAATGGTTTGGTTTGTGTTTCAGTGTGATACTCATGTAGACAGAAATTCTCACTATTTCAGCTGTATATAATTTAATTTTAATAAAGCCCATGAACTTTTAAATGTCATTTCTTTCTCATAAATTCCATTGTTTTTCTTCTGTTTTACCAGAAAAGAACTGTCATTCATAAAATGTATTAGTTCTCTAATGTGTGTATATTATTATTTTTACTCTGTTTCTTTAATTTCTTTTGTCTCTGAAGCAACATGCTGTTCTGTGCTTAGGTTAGTGTCACTAACTACAAGGTGAGTGCTGATTTTGATGTGCTGGAGACTTTTTGTCCTGAGGATATGGTCATACTCTTTGTGTGCTTGTGTGTATCTAGCACACCTGTTAGATGGAATGCGGAGTTGTATGGGTCCTGCATTACTTGGCAGCACTAGGTACAGTGTATTTTTATTGTTTTTGTTGTCTTTATGAGACAGGGTGTGACTATGCAGTTCAGGCTGGCCTTGAGCTCACTTTGTAGCCCAAGGTGTGGTGTGGTCTCAAACTTGCAATGATCCTCCTGCCTCAGCCTCCCGAGTGCTGGGATTACAGGTGTGTGCCACCACACCTGGCCTAGGTACAGTATATTTTATAAGTTTACCAAGGATAGCCTAATGCCAGATGGGGTAGAATAATCATGTACAGGGATATTTGATAATTTTGCATTTTTGAGAGATTGTGAACTATAAGCAGCAGTAAACGTTTATATTCAAGCTTGGACACAAATTTTATGCTTAGTGTTTGGATGCTGGTTATTTGCAGTCTGGTTATATTGTGTTGTAATCATGACTGACATACAGTAGTTTGAATAATTTAATTTCAAGTGTTGCCCTAAATTTTTTAATTTAAAAAACATTTACTAATGTGTGGTATGAAATGAAAAGGTTGTGAAAGCTTGTTTGGTCATCTGCCTGCTTCTGTACTCTTACTCCTTGGTCTTACCTTTTTTATAAAGATGTATGTGATGCTAAATTAAATATTCTATACCAGGGTAAGAAAGAGAGTATGAGCCAGGTGTGGTGGCACATACCTGTAATCCCAGCACTTGGGGAGGCTGAGGTAGGAGGATCGCTGTGAGTTCCTGTTCAGTCTTTACTACCTAGTGAGACCCTGTCTCAAAAAAAAAAGATGCATTCTGATTTTAGGGTCATTTTTAAAAAGATGAGATTTAGAGATGAACTGGGCGACGTGGCTCTGTTTACAATATTTCTGATCTTCAGTTACTTTATTTGTAAAATGAAGAGAAAATTCGTAAGGTTTTTTTTGGTTTTGTTTTGTTTTTTTGTTTTTTAGAGAGATATGCGGTCTTGCTATGTAGTTTCAGGCTGGCCTAAAACCTACGGTGGTTCTCCTGCCTCAGCCTCGAAATTGCTGGGATTACAGGTATCTGCACCACAGGTGGCCACCTTGTGAGGATTAAATAGTGTGTGTGAAGTTGCTGGTGCAGAGTGTTGCTGGTCAGCAGATGCCCAGTTAATGAAGCTGCTTTCACAGCAAACCCTATGATGGTGGTGGTGAACCTACGGCATGTGTGCTGCAGCCAGCTGTTTGTCATCAGTGAAAGCTCTGAAAGGTTCGCCGTCACTGCACTATGAGTTTTAGCAGTTTTCAGAGGCAGTCCCAGATTGAGATTAACGTGTAGGACCTACTTATTTTCACAGTATTTCACAATGAAATAACAGTTTTAAGTGTAAGCCTTGTATCCTAGTGATG